TCTCATTACCTTATTTCATCGGCGTATACATTATTGCCTTATTTTTTCAATTTTATTGATGTCATGTCTTCATGTGTTTCATTTAGGACTCGGAAAAGAAGCATACGATAGCCATTATTATTGCTCTTCGTTCATTACGCGTTCGCCTTCACTCATCACTCGCATCATCTTTTTCCAAACCGCAATGGTTACTTTTATTAAGTTTTAAATTTAATTGTTTTGAAGAAAAGTAAAAATGATGGGTTTTGAAAGCCACAAAGCTAGTGCCTAGTTTTTTTGCTCAAGTCTACTATCAACCGTCCAATACAAACTGCTAAGGGTTCAAGTGCTTATCTAGCTGCGAGCTGCCCTCCATTGCGGATTATTTCAAGCTTGCCAGCATCTCCTTTGCTCACACTGCGATGTGTTCTAGGATTTAATCTGGGATTAAACTCATTTGTGGGACATTAAGAAAAGTTGACTTGAAAGTTTTTGATGAATGAAGCATAACTTGCATTCCTCTTCAGAAGTCTTTCGTATCCATTCATGAGATAAGAAACAATTTCCTAAGGAATGATTAATTGTTGTTTTTGTGAGTACTCTTCTGGTTATGCAGATTAACACTTTTAATAAGTCTTTTAGCTATTAGAAATTAATGGCATAGTATTTCAGGGAAATGAGTCATCTTTACCGATGGAAATGTGCAGCAACTGTATGTTTGCCTTTTTTATCAACTTAAATAATTTATGTTTGACCCTTGAAATTTATCCTCAAGTCTTAAGTATTTCTTTGCGGGCACTTATTTGATACAAAATCACCAATCCAGTTGCTTAAATGTTCTGAATTACAGAGCTGTTCATCTTTATTAATTCAAAAAATTGCAGTTGATTAAAGTTGTTGGCTTAATAGCTATGCTTTACTCTGAATTAGTATGCTTTCCAATACCATGCTAGTAGTATCTTAATCATACATGTCTCTTGAATGATGTTGACAAGCATTTGTTGACTACCAGAATGTTCATTTTCTTGTGTTCAATAATCATTAAAATCGAGCTATCATTAAAACAGTGGAAGTTATATAAGATAATTTCCGGGCCATCATATGTGACCATCATATGTGAGCTTCTTGAAAAAGTCAGAATCCACTTGAAAACTTGCCTTACATGATTCGTACTGTTTAATGTGCACTATCCAGTGGGCTATAAGCTATATGCCATGCTTTAAGCTTCCTTTTAATAACTTTCTTCGTCTTTCAGCTATTCTAATTTTTGTGAATTGTACAGATTAGATTTAGCAGAAGGTCAATGTAAAACTTTTTTTGGTACAACATAATTTTTTTTACCCATTTTATGTGACGTCTGCTGCACTTATTTTTAAAGCAGTTATATTAATTATTTATTACTCAGACAATTTTCCATAAATTATGTTAATTTTATTTGCAGTTGATGCATATGAGTTGCGGCGCCTAGCACGACGCTTCAAAAAATTAGATTTGGATGGTTCGGGAAGTTTGAGTGTTGACGAATTTATGTCATTACCGGAATTGCAACAAAATCCGTTGGTCCAAAGAGTTATTGATATATTCGACGAAGATGGTGATGGAGAAGTTGATTTCAAAGGTTTGATTTTTTTTCAATGAAAATGTTGGTTTTTTATAGTTTCAAAATTTAGTTATTTTTCATCTAAATTTTTTTCTTTTTAGAACGCAAATATAACAAAGCACATTATTTTCAGAATTCATTCAGGGAATATCACAATTTAGTGTTAAAGGGGATAAAACAGTAAAGCTGAAGTGTAAGTTTTGTTGTATTTCTTTACTTTTTGTACCGTATGAAATAACAACTATCGAAGTCCAGCAAATCCACTCAAGATGCCGATATATTTATGTATAATCATGCGAACTTGTCATATGGCATGATAGTATGTGATTTTAGTTCCTTTAAGAAAAACATAAATTTCAACATAAATTTTCAGGGTTTCTGCAATTTGAGATTTTCTCAATATCTGAAAAGGAGTTAATAGAAAATAACGAATTTTTATCTCTTTAGGAATATCGATTAAAGGAGAGCCTGTTTTATAATAATATTCCTCAAATATTTTCGTTAAAAACATTTTACTCGCTATACACTAAAAACGCATAAACTCATTTGCTATTCAGGAAAATTGTTACAAATACAAGTGAATACTATGACTTTGATTTTTGCATTAGAATCTTTTTTGAATTTTGGAACTGTTCTCAACACTAACACAGAAATCATATTTATTTCAGTTGCTTTTCGTATATATGATATGGATCGGGATGGATATATCTCGAATGGAGAGCTTTTTCAGGTCAGTCTCGTTAGCAATTAATTTAGCAAGATGATTTAATGAATATCATGAAGACTGTAAAATTTAGCACTTTAAATGTGTGTGTTACCATGCCCATATTCAGTGATTTTTTGCTTGCACTTTATAGAGGTAATTGAGTCTTCAAGATTCATTTCTATCTCTTTCTTTATATTTTTCTTTTTTATAACATGTGATTTGATTGACGGATATTAATAGAAAAAATAGCAGTATCTTGATGTTTTCATATCCTCTCGAATAGTAAACTATTTCAAGTTTCAGGTTTTAAAAATGATGGTGGGAAACAATTTGAAAGACAACCAACTGCAGCAAATAGTTGATAAAACAATACTATTTCACGATAAAGATGGCGATGGTAAAATATCTTTCGATGAGTTCTGCGATGTAATTTCCTAATTTTTTAATTTGTCGTGTTAATTCTTTATAATTTTAGTTTTTGTCGAATTCGTGCAATTGATCGCTTTTGAAAACTCATTTCCGTCATTCGATTGAAATTTGTACACCTTGACCACATGGATGACAGCGTGTTGTTACCTCTTGTGATACTACATTTTGAAATAGAGTTAACGATCGTGAGTTCAGCTTAGAGCTTTTATGATTATCTCCTCATGTCAAAAAATGCTCCATGAAATATCTTTTGTTCACGAAGACGATCAAGGTGTCTTAGACCTTCTTTAGTTCAGCTGGCGAAGCTATATAGAAATATTTATCACTCAGAGACTGTCGAATTTCAGAATGAATGAGTATTGAAAACGTGTTTTTTAGGTTGTGGAACATACTGAAGTTCACAAGAAAATGGTGCTAGAAAATATTTGATTCTGCCGGTGCAACAGCAACAGTGTTGCTATTCTGTTGTTGCCAAAAGGAAATAGATCTCTCAAATTTGGTAAACCGAACTTTCATATTTACTTCTCTTCTTTGTTTGTCCTAGTCGATTTTATCTCTCGTAATTTATCTGTGAACGAAGCGCTATCATGGGTAGTCTGGGAGTGATATCGAGTGAGAGCAATGATGGAGGTGAAAAAACAGCTCTAGTTATCTTTTCCCAGAAAGGCTTAAAACTAAGGCATTGTGAATAACACTCTGATATCTTCAAATCTTCTGTAATTTGTATTTCGCTTTCATGCAGCACTTCATTAATTAGGTCTTTTTCGCTGCAGGTTTGTTATCTGTTTAAGTTTCTAAATTTGTCCTCATTACTGTTACCAATACCTTCTGTAATGATTTTTATTTTCACGTTACTTGATTGATATGTAAGAAATTTTGTATATTATAAACGGGATGTTAATCAAGTAAAAAAAGGAGGCAGATTTTGTTGGAGATGCTTCTCTTAAGAGATCTCTTGAGTTGTTATAGATAGAGTAAGTTCCTGGCTCTAAATTTTTGTTTATAAATGTTTTGTTGCGTAAATTTGATCAATTTTTAAATAGAATACTGAGATATCTTGTAAAAAGTTCTTGAACTAGTTGTAATTTTAATTTATTAGCTAATTTCAGGAATTTAGTCAATACTGTTCAATTATTATATTGCAGAAGCTTATTTTATGAAAAATATTCATACTTTATTCTACGGGCCATCTAATTCTGAAAGGTGCCAAAGTGTGATTTTTGTTACTGTTTTTTTTTTTCTTCATAGTAGATACTTTCATTACATTTGCTGACTAACACTTAAATCATGACTGCTTAGCAGATTGTGGCAGTGTATTAATTAGGAAATCCTTTGGTGCACTTTGACTTTTTTTAAATTTTTTATCAAGTTATTTGTCACTGTGCAATGGAAGCTATTTTTTTCTTATAAATAGTTATGACAGAGTTCATCAATCATTCGATAAAGTGAGCTTTTAATCTTCGTGAAACTTGTTGGAAATTATTAAGTCGCAGTATCCGAGAGCTACTTTTAAAGAATTAATTGTATGCTAAGAAAACTGCTTCTGCACAGTGAGAATATGCCCGAAATTTTGTTTCGCTTTTTGAAATATATTGTATAAATTTCATGAAGTTCAAAACTTATTTTAAATATACTGTGAACTGAATGGAGAATGAACAAAGTCAGTGGTACCATCTGCCGCGCATTTCTTTTTTAAATTGTTTCATATTGAGAAAATAAAAATGCTATCCAGTTTAATAAATTAAATGGTTTGCTTTGAAGGATCGATTACTGGCATATCAGATAAGAGAGGTATCAAAATATTAGGGCACTTAGACATAGAATAGAAAAACAAAAGGAATATCAATAATGACCATTTTAAAATAAAGCTGGTAAATGTTTCCTTGCACGCTATTGAAGAGGACAAGTAAGATAGCACTCCTTTCAAATTGATACTTGGCTTTCTCATTTCGCGTTAAGTAAATGAAATTAAGATTTTTTGATTCTCAACATGGAGCTAATAAGAAATAAAGGGTCAGACTAGTTTCTTTTTTCTTCCATCTGGGCTTGGAAGTAAGAACATAAGAGGTGTAAGTTATTTAAGCTCGCCAGCGATGGAGCTTATAAAAAATTACGTGCGATTAAAAAAACCGGAAGATCATGTTACAGGATCCTTCTAAAATAATGAAGCTGGGATAACAAGTTGGGGTCGCTTCTCCAGCTTTAAACATTCGAGCTTCTTTTAATGACATTGCTGTTGCATGTAGATTTTTTTCCGGCCAATTGGCTACTGATGTATAGTTGCAAATGAAAACGTGTGTGTTGCGATTGTATGGTGTTTGTCTTACATCACAATCAGTTCGAACAAAAGTCCGTGCTAAAAGCCAGCGAGTCACATCCTCAGCAACTGTAGTGGTGAAAAATGATGGGCGAAAGTTTGCGGTATGTGATAGTTTTGTGGAATTTATGATCCGCAAGCATCAAGAGGAGTTGCAGCGATTGTCCATGCTTATTAGGGAAGAGGCAATTCAACGATACAACAGCTACTTGCAGGTTATTTTCTTAAAATTTGAGTTTAATAATTTTTTAGCATCTCCAAAGATTAATCAGTGTGCAAAATATAACTGCTAATCAAATGACGCAGAGCACTGCTTTCTCCGTGTGAAACTGATGTTTATATCAAAATGAGTCCAAATTTAAAATTATTTCATATAAAAAAATGTCACACTCTATGTGGTTCATACAATTCAAGTGATTTTTAAAGTTTTCGAAATCGTTCAATGATTTTAAGCCTGTAATGATAATTTTTTGCGGCCTTTTTTAATGACTTCATTATTCTGCTTGACGTAAATCACGCTTGTTTTTCAAATAGGAAGCGTAAAATGGCGGTGAGGCTATTCGGGCTCTCTACTGTGTAAGTGTTCTATAAGTTCGATTATTTTAACTCCTGAACTTTCTCCTTTTTTCAGACTCTCCAATATCGAAGCAATATCGTTACGGGTTTACGTCGAATCTTGGCGCGTAACCGTGGTCAGTATCTTGTACCCGTAGGTTCAACTGCTTCAGGACTTGCTAGTGGTGTATCAGATATCGATTTAGTTTATTTATCAACGATTGATGAAAAACAACGCGAAAAACTATTGCAGTCACTTAGTAAGGAAAATTTTAGGCGGTGTGTATTTATGACAGTTTTTGAACTCAATTTTTGTCATTGTTTATTATAAAATGTACTATGCAGATATTATACAATTTAATTACGTTCTGCAGTATTTTTACACTAACATTGAATGCTGAATATCAGAATTGGTGATGTCACGTAACATCTGATATCTTTCAATATGATCAGTAACTTAAATTTACAAGTTTTTATGTTATTTTTGGTTTGCTTGTTGCAAATTTGTTCCTTTACTTGCAGAACATTTATGACGGAAGTGAAAAGTAGAATCGAAGAGTCCTCTCTGTGTAAGGAGTTCGATTGGTCTCAGACAGATATTATTCATGCAGCCCGGGTACCAATTCTTCATTTACAAACGCAGAAACATATGCATGTTGATATTCAATTCGAAAAATATGCATCAATTAGAAATACCTACTTTGTCCGATATTGTGCTCAGGTTTGAGATTGCAACTTTCTTTTTATCTGAAATTTCGAAAGCATTTATAGATTGTTGAAAGACATTGAAATCCTTAACGTAAGGAATGAGGTTGACATACAAGTTTACTAAAAAGATATATTCTTTTTAAAATTCTATACTTTGCTTCTAATAATCACAGAACTTTATATTTTAATTGAATCTTTGAATTTAGTATGACGAGCGGGTAGCTTTGCTGAACATGTGGGCGCAAAAATGGCTTGAATCGCAACGATTGAAAGATAGCAAGCATGGCTTATTTTCCACTTATCATGTATTGATGTTGGTTCTACATTTCTTGCAGGTATATGAAAGTTATTTTTATTAACAGAATATAGAGATTTTTGACTAAATTGTACTATCTATGCAGCATATTTTCCTATGCTAGCATTACATTTTTTATCAAGCTTACATATCTATATGGGCCTTTTATAAGTTTTTTTTATAAGAATTAATAAGATTTAAACTTCCATTTACCCGTACTATTGATTACATTGTTTATTGCTTTTGTCTTTTATAATTGATAGTAAACACAATATTGAGTAGTTTGAAATTTATTCCAAAAAATTTTTATGGTTAACGTGGTCTAATCAGTCTTCAGTTTCATCGTTTTGCAGTGCACTGGTTCTTATGGTATTCAACCGGTTCTACCAGTTATGTGTAAAAAGTTCAAAGGTAACTTGAGGCCCAACTTACCAATCCAGCGGATAGCGGTATCTTTATATGGAAGACCTGTATGTTTTTTCCCAAATTTCTTTTGTTTCATTGTATTGGATTTGGTTTTGAAACGTAATTTCTTAAGTTAAAAATGTATGTTTCCCAGTAATAATTTCCTACACTAGAATGAATTTAGAAGGATCTGGACTTCAAAGAAAGACAAGAACCAGATGTAGCTGAATTAATATTGTTGTTTGTTAGTCATTATGCAAAATATGATTTCAACCATACCAGTTTTCATTTAAGCAATGCTACTGTTACTGAAAAGAACCAATTCGGGTAAGTCTATTTGTTTCTTTTTTTCAAATAACTTTGTGCCAGCATGTTTCTTCTCCCATAATTTTCAGGTGAGGTTTCAGGTTTGTTAAAAAAATATCAGGTTTTGGTGTAAACGATGCAGCATTTTTTTCGTGGCTGTTTATTCAGAAATTTGAGCCTGTAAATTTTCATTTTTATTCCTTTTAATTTCAGTTATGAATATGAGCAACATCAAGTTTCGATATTCGATCCATATGCGTCAACCACAATTTGTCGTGTTAAAGGAGGAGCTGATTTATTAACAAATGCTTTTCAAACTACAAAAAGAGCTATGCTTGCTGGCCATTGTCTTACTTGGCCGGTATCTATGAAATAGATATACCACATGTGTGGAAATGTTTTGCTCAAAAAGATGATGAAGTCTGTTTCTACAGTCATTCGGAGCTTCATACTTCTATATGTGCTATTTCTAGAATACCAAGGAAGGAAAAGAGGATTCTTAACATTGAAAAGTTTGTGTTGATGTTTCTTGCGGAGAAAAAATATGGCGGTGTCGGAAGTGCTATTTCTAGTATCATTTTTAAACTGTACAGTTCGTAAGGAAGATATTCACTATATGCTTGCAGTTTTTATTTTTGAAACATTTAATGAACACTCTCATTATTCAGTAAGTACATTTCGGGAATAAATTTTTCGTTTCATAATAAAATTTCCATCAATATATCTTAAATTATGGATCTGATTGATCTCTTCAATGAACAAAACATAGCACTTAATAACGCAGTCAAATTATTAGATGGAGTTAGTTCCACTAAGATCAAATCATCATTTAAGGCAAAGGAAGGGTTCTTGATTTATAAATAGAAGGGAGATTTTCTCTATCCATTTATTAGGATGGAGCAGCCTTGTCAAGAACTTAGTCAGAGGATAAGGGAGGGCTAAGATTAAAACTGTCATAAATGCTTTCTAAAGACTGATAATTATATATAATATTTATTTTTTCATAATGAAAAACCACCAGCAGAAGAGTTGATTTAAATTTTTTTGGCGGAAGGGACTTTTAAATCGATTGATCTTTTCAATCGCTTATAGAAAATTCACGTGCACAAGTGGAATTTAACTTTTATTGATTTGTATTGGATACAATTATATGAAGATTGGATCAAAAGGTTTTCAAGAAAAATTGACTGTGAAGGAATGCTAAGCCAAATCAGTATTTTCCTCATAAATCTTACAAACTAAATTTTTCAGATTAAAATTTTTTGTATGTTTAGATGTCAATCAAAGCTCACTTTGACAGACGTCAATCAGTGATTGCAAGTTTCTGTTGTTAGCGATATGGTGGAAGTGGTCAAGCATTAACGGTGTAAAAATGCAAGCGGTATATGGAAGCAGAGTTTTTCTGTGCTCAGATTGACTCAAAACGAAGAAGTAATATAATTTCTTTCCTAACCGCGAGTGGTTAATATCCCCACTCGTTTAAGCAACGATTATTCTGTTCTGCAACAATATCCTGCATTCATTATATTGTTTTTCGTTTTTGAATTTTGTCATTTCTAGTTTCCTTCGACTAAAAACGCTGTATTTTTAATCATTCATGAGTTCAAAGTTATTCCTATTTAAAAATCATTAGCTCGAACAAAATGAAGAAATTAATTTAAGAAATAATTTCATTATTTTAAGAGCAATAACGACTGGAAAAGAGATAATTTTTTCTCTTCCTTCTCTTATTTTAATTATCCTCCTACCTTATCTTTGCTCTTGGCTCCTGGCTTTTGGTACTTTCCTTCGTGGCGTGTTTCTCCTATTTGTTGCAAATTGCTTCAAATTTAAGAGGCGTTTGGGCAGACTTTGCGACTATTTTAGAACTATTTTATTAGGGTCATTTTTTATTTTAAGACCTTTTTTATTAGAATTATTTTTGATGAATCGAAATATTCACAGTCTTATCATCCTATCTTATAATTTTAAAAAGAATTGGATAAATCAAACTTATTACATTTTGAATTGATAAACTTCATTGAATGTTTTGAAACGTACAAAAAACTTTTTAAATTGATAAGCCATATTGAATATATGATAAAGAATTCTTAATTTAGAAGGATATGCGAACTGTCAGAAAAAGATAATTAGAGAACTTGATCCCCATCGGAGTAAAAAGAGAGGAGAAAAGACATTTAGCACATGGCCTAACATATGCTGCTGTAATAATTTATTCCAGCTGTTCTTTTCGAATTATTTACTAATTAACAAACTTTTTTCTCTTTCACGGACAGCCTCGACTAATTCTTATTACCAATGTAATTTCTTCTCTGAATTGTTAAAGAAAGAAAAAACTTTCATTTAAAAAAATTCATAAGCCAATCAAATTATCTATCAATGAAATCTGATCGGAATATCATTCGATTTCAATTCAAGCTTATCGTTCAAATGTATCGTGGAACCGTATCAAGGGGGCATTCATTTCTTAGAGAATAAACTTTCCGGTGGGCTGTAATATTTGTTGCGCTCGAAAAATATTTCCGTTATGGAAAATATACAAAGTTTTGTGAATAATATTTATATTTAAGCTATTTAATAAGGCTAATAATTATAACATAAATATTTTCACATATCAGTGTTACAATAAAATTTTTTATCAATTTATAAGCTGCTGACAAAATTTGTGTTTGCAATTACGGCATGCTTTATGTATCAGTTAATATCAAGCATTTTTCGACATTATAGTTTAGTTTAATTAAAAGAAAAAAAGAAATGGAGCGACTTTTGAAGGCATTATTGATGATATCTGTCTGGAAGAGATGATAGTATTGTTTCATTTATCTTCTCCGGAAGAAAACGTATCATTGTACAAAAAGGAAGAAAAAATAAGTAGAAATGAAGATAAAAGATATGGAGGGTCTTCCGATAGTTCTCATACCAAATAATTACCATCACTCTATTGTCTTATCATGCCGAACAAATCGGGTGATGTGTAGGATGAGGTGATAGATATGGGTCGGAGAAAAGGGTTCTCAGATGGGAGGAGTAGACATTCCAATCCAAGGCCTATTTAAATGGTTTAAGTTGTATGCATGTGCATGAATGACACAGCATATGTAATCCGATTTATACGTATACATTTCGTTTAGTTCCAATCGCAAAGAATTGTTTCATTATTTTAAGGCATTAGTCAGTTTGTTAGTTCATTTCAAGAATTCGATCCAGCATTGATAGCCAATAAAGTTCACAATCTTTTTCATCTTTTAATTAGTGATCCGTTACCGTAATTATCTTTCCAGTTCTTCATAATCCAAAATATTGCAGTTTTATTCACTGGAATCGTTTGGCGGCATTGTCCAAAACTTCATTCGTCTTAATTCCAACAGTGACAATGGAGTCGGACAGTCGTATAAAAGCGTATAAATTTGTTGCCTATTCTGCTGTATCATTTTCCATTGTGGCGGTATTGTCTGTTGTCATATCGTTACCGATGGTTTATAATTATGTGGCACATGTAAGGCGACAAATGCATCATGAAATTAATTATTGCAAGGTAATTTCTTGTAGCATTTTGAAGTAAATTACGAAGACTTCGAGAAGTGATGAAATAAATGGTTTAAAGTTATCAAATTCAATTATCGGAGCGAAATGAATAGTTTTTGAGATTCCTCGAAAATGGTTCCTCATAAAATAAAATGCAATCAATATGTGAATAAGTCTTTTCGAATTTTTTCTTTATCTTTTTTTATTTTCTTTTTTCTGAGAACATCGCAAAACACTTCAAGTAAAAGTTATTGTGTTGTTTTTAGAGTATTGTCTGAAATTTCGACATCTTTCCAGCTAATCTAATTTTATTGTCTTATGAATGCTTTTTGGGGTGGTAGACGAAATGAGATTGGATTTTTTGTCAAATCATTTCAAGCTTTTTATCAATTTGTTAACGTATATCTTCAAGAAAGATCATTGAAAAACAATCCAATCACTAGCATCTAATTTGATTTAAATGACCAATCACGCGGCAACGAATATCTTCATGACTTATTTGAAGCTTCTACAAACTCATCTAGTCGAATTCAAAGTTACTAGTTATAGTTATTGATATAAATCCATTAAGTAGCATCATTAATATTGATAATCTATTACTTATCATGAAATACAGTTATCAGGAACTTGTCAATCAGGGTAAATTTCGGATGATAACGAATTCATTTCTTTTCTTCACAAACTGACAGCGAATCAGGTCATCCAATTTTATGATCGTAGCTGCAACGATGATGAAATTTGGGTCAAAAATCGGCATTTGTTCTTGGGCAAAAGAGATGAAAAAAGGATGGATTCTGTTTTCATATATCACATTATTAACAAATTTCGATGGTTAAGAAATTCATAACTTTTCATTTGTTATCATTGAAAAGCACGAAAATAACTTTGCTACTTCTACATGAAAAAGTTGAGGCGATTTGCACAATTGTGTGGTATATATTTCTGGATTTCGAAAACAGCCGTGCAATTTTTTCCCTCTTTTATGAAGCAGTTGGAGGAATGAAAATAAGACTATAAATGAAGAAAAAGAGATTTATTAAATACTTGTTGGAATTTTCTTGGTAGATTACATTTTAAATTTTCTTACGTTTCAATTGAAATTAAAATCTTATCTGTTATACGGTAACTCAAAGATTTCACTTTCTCTTAATGGAAAACAAAACAATCTTAATCACAAAAAGTTTTTAATTGCGCCATTTTAACTGAATCCAGAACATTCGATGTAAATTATATAAATTTTGATTAAGTGAAGATCATAGAGTAAAATTTTCTAATTAATATCATTAAACATTCATGGATCAGTTGCTTTCTTTTCGTTCACTCCTTTACTTCCTTGAGTTTAAAAAGCCATTACTACACCGGAACGGTAGTGATCGCAACTTCAAATAGAATTCATTCATACTACAAGCTCCACAAGGAAGTTGCTGAGAAGAATGAACAATGAACCTTTAACAAGAAATCGTTTTTAAGATGTTTAAGATCAAAATTCTACTTTGCTTCAAAAGTCCCGATAGCTTTTTGACTTACTTCTGTTATTGTGAACTTTTCTTTACTTCTTAATAATACAAATGTTTATTTATGATTTGTATAGATATTAACATCCAGAAAAGTCAGATGATAATAGATACAAGTATCGAACATCTGGCCACTCTTCCATCTCAGCTTGCCAATCACTTCTGATTCAATTTTAAACAATGTCGTATCTATTACTTCTTAGAAATCATAAAAAGATAGAAAAAATCATTTGCTTCACTTCTATGATTATTACATGCCCTTATAATTAATTAATCCATGGTACTTCATGTACTTCATCTGCAACCAATGAATGCTTAATTAAGCTTCCGATGAAGTTATTCTCTTTCGAAGTATCACTACTGAGTAAGGCACTGCGCTAAATGGCAGGTAATTTGGGAATAGTTGACTTAATATTTCCAATTAACCATTGTCTGATAAAATAACGAACAATAGGATTGTGAGCGTTATTTTCATTTCTCTCCCAATCGTTTATTGAATAAAATTCTGTCAGCAATGAATCTCAACTGCCTTATGATACATTGTAGAATTTTTATGCGATAATTTAACATTGAATTTAGCTTTCATTTTCAGCTAGATCATCAAGGAATACGACGCTACATTTGAAAGAATCGAATTATCGAAATTTCAGGGTTCAGCAAATGATATATACACTGAAGTGAATTACATGAAGAATACGCCTCAAGATTCTAGACCTAATAACAGAACAGCACGACAGTCAGGTTATTCTGAGGTGAATTCCGCAGCAAATGTGCATTGCGAAGGTTGCTGCATTCAGGGGCCACCAGGCCCACCGGGTCCAGCAGGCAAGCCGGGAAAGTCTGGTAAGCCAGGTGTACCTGGAAATCCTGGAATGCCAGGCAAACCACCAATTGCTCCTTGCGAACCCATAACACCTCCACCATGTAAGCCATGTCCCCAAGGTGCGGTTTTTTAAACTTCTAAATAAAGTATGATGACATAATTAGTTCATTAAACCGATCAAGCAATCTAAAATTTCTGAAATATTGAATCAGCATTTTGAATCAACTCTTCCAGGAACTCTTTGTTGTATTCTAGCACAGATATTTGCTTCAATCATTTCTGCGTCTATAAAATTTACCATTCTTTTACTAATGCTCGTATTTTCAGGACCACCAGGACCGCCAGGACCACCAGGAGCACCAGGAGATCCTGGAGATGCTGGAACACCCGGGCGGCCAGGTATTGATGCAAGTCCAGGAAGCCCCGGACCACGAGGCCCTCCAGGGCCACCAGGTGAACAAGGACCACCAGGACCACCTGGTGAGCCTGGCATACCAGCACAAAGCGAGCCACTTTCACCAGGAGAGCCTGGTGAACCTGGTGATCCGGGACCGCCAGGTCCCCCAGGACCACCTGGAGCACCAGGTGCAGATGGAGCCCCAGGACCAGCAGGACCAAAAGGACCTCCAGGCCAAGATGGACCACCAGGTGTTGATGGACAACCTGGACCTCCCGGACCAGCTGGACCTCCGGGAACACCAGGAGAAAAAGGCATTTGTCCTAAATATTGTGCTATTGACGGCGGTGTTTTCTTTGAAGATGGTACCAGGAGATGATTTAGAGAAATGCATTCTCTCCATATATTTGTTCCTAATTTCACATCAAAATTTGATTACATTAATTTCGTCCCATCTGCAGGGAGTCTTAAAATTCAAAAATGGAAGACCAAATTTAATTAATTTCCCACTTTTTTTTAAAAATGATAACCAATACCGTCTCCTTGCTACTAAATTGAAAATATCAATGTGATTGAAAGATTTTCTAAAAAATTCGTTTTTCGATTATATTTAGTTAACAATCGATTACCTCCAATATAACTTTTATTTCTTTTTTTTTTGTTGTGTTATTTGTTAAGAGATGGCTATCGAAGGAAGAAAGGTTTTGGAGATATTATTTCCTGGAAATTATTGTGATACTGATTAATACAAGTTTGCCGTCCCTTTACAAATACCATTTTTTCATTCATTTGTTACATTGCTCAATTTAACTGTAACATCACAATCAGAGGCTCTGCATTTTTCCACTAATTCAAAAGAGCTAAAAAATAGCTTCACATTTTGCAGTACTTATTAGTGTAGTACCTGTATTTCAGATTATAATTGAATTTTTCACAAAATGAAGTGACATAACAATATCTCTTCATTTTCCGCTCTATCGTAGTAACTTTTTGGTTCAGCTCAAGCCATTACAATATCAAAATATAAAGCATTACATGAGTGAATCAATTAATATTCACTTCAAAATTGATTAACCCAAACATCTGGTGAAAGATTGAATATTTTAATTCATTACGTTGCGATATCAAAATATTGTGGCTAGCTAGCTTTATTAGAATTAATTCAAATTTCAAGATTTATATTGACCAAAGAAAAATTATTTACAAGTATGAAAACAGTAGTTGATATCACTTTTTGAGCATAATTTCCATCATCGATTTCGAAGACATTTTAACTTCGAGAAAAAACAATGAGGCAGAGACTAATTTATTAATTATATCGATTTTCGATTTGACCCAATTGAAAAGAGCTGGCTGCAATCGTCCTTCCATCATCTATCCATTCATGCAATTTTTCATCATCGTCAACTGAAATATTACAGAAATGTAGACAAAAGCTCCAATTATACGGAAAACCTTTCCATAGCTGTAATTAAAGCATTTTTATGTAGCATTTACAAAAAAAGCTTAATATCAGGTAGCACTACTATAATTTCCAACCCTTCATTATTAAATATGAATTAATGAAATGATTACCTGCTATCAGCATCATTTTTATCACTATTAGCCTTTTGTCGCCTCACCCACCTGTAATATGTATTATGTATTTTGGAAAGTAAATATGCTTTTGGAAGATTAAAAGTAATGGGATAATGTGAGTTATAGTTGGACTTTTCACCTGTTAATTTATAGAATCATATATTTTGAACTTCTCATAGCTGTTTGATAAATATGAAATATCCTCCCTATTCACGAAAAGTGCCATAAAATAAGTATGGTCGTGTGGTGTGTAACCAAGAGGTTGCCAACGACGAATCACGCAAAAAGGTAGAACAGGTGGTATAAAAACATTGAAAAACAAACAGACGTGGCATGACTTTCATCTATCACAAGTAGCATATATGCAATCTATACCAAAACTGTTAAAAATCGTATTTTATTCGTTAACATTCGAATTTCTGCCAATCAATTATTCAATCAATCGATAAATCAATCATTAATATTTCTTTTGCAATCACCTCATTATATAAAAATTGTTTTTTCGTATTTCTTTATGAAATGTCATTATGATAAAGTTGTATTTGGAATTTTAAGTGATACATTTATAGTGGTTTTCTTCCATTTCCTCCCTTCTTAGCATAAAATAATACCGTTCGAATTAAAAAGCAGTTTGCTGCTGATAAACTTTGATTCACATTGATTATCATTGGCTGATATTTATTATTACTTATCAATAGAAATTTATTGAAAGTATTATTTATGTTAGGAAAATTTATTAATATCAATATAACGTGCACAACTATGCTGATCTCATATCACGACTCGTATTACGAAGATTAGTGTCATAAGTGTATTAGAGCTGAAGCTATAATATATCGAATCATCATTGAAAGATCCAGGAATCTCAAATGCCATTACTTGATTCAGCATCAGAAGATCTAACATTACGAAATAAATGAAACACAGCAACATCTTAAACTGGTGCACGATTCAAACATAAACTTTTCATCAAAAAAGTTAAAAATTCTTTGGAATTCTATAGATTCATCAAAAACTGAAATGAATTTATTTTTGTAGTAAAATATTATTTTATACGTACATTGTGATCTTCAGAAAATGTCATTATCAAGTGGATCTAATCTTCGTCTAACAGTACCCAGCAAACATTATTCTATACAATGAAACGATTCACTCCAATTTATCCCTATACCTGTTTTCGATGAGTTATCTCAATGATTAATTTCACTGTAAAGCGGGAGTAGCATATTTTTGTAGCTATTACTTTGTAATCGGTAGGAGAGTTTCTACCACGTGTAGACTTATTTTTAGTAATCCCAGGCTACGAGCCTTCATCTAGTTAGTAATGCTTGAATTAATAGCAGCTTTTTTTTCATTGTTTAGGGCTCCTTAACACTTTTTAACTATTTAATACTATGAAATAAGAAAAATTATGATATTTTCATGAGAATGGATTCAATGATAACTATTTTTTCAAATATGAAACTTTAAATTTCGACTTTGTTTGCCGGAAATTCATTTTAGTAGCAGAGAAAAATTGCTGACATCAACGCGGTATTTGTCCAAATCCGTATTATTTTGTAGTGCCGGATTCTCTCATATTTATATTTTCGTCTCAAATACTGCTTAAGCTATCGAATCGTCAAAATCTTCACTTTCAAAAAAATTTCAAAAAAAATTAGAAAACGGCTAAAATTACTGGTTCTACCAGCAGACAACATGTAAGCCTGAACATCTCTTAATTTCTCATTGATTTATTTTTGCTAGAAATTAGTGAAATATGATTTAGATTGGATATATTGCAGGCAATGATTCAAAAGAAGACACCAAGCTCACCAGGTACAGTGCTTACTGTTGCTGGATTATTTGTCGTTGGTATAACACTTGTTCTAAGCGGCATTATCGTTTTATGTCAGGTTCGTCCTCTCACTTATGCTCTGACCATTAATCGATTCGACATACTAAAAATAGTGTCCAGCATGTAAAAGTTACTATTCAACTGCATGTGCAATATAATTATAATAACCTGTGGTGAATTCTTCTTTACTATTTAAAAGAATAACCAATTCTTATTAAAACTTATTTTTCTGTTGTGAAACTCTGTAAACAACAAGAATGCATCCCAAAATAAGACTTTTATATTATTCAAACCATTAAGACAGCGCTAATATGAAATTTATTTTTTCGAGGGAAAGATTTGTTTGGAACTATCGAATTGTAATGAAGGCTTAATTTTTTATAGAGAGGTTTTATTCTTCTTCATGTTATAATATAATTATCAAAAAATATGATAAATTGAATAAATCACTTGGTTATGCTTCTTTATTCGTTGATTAGAGAGGATAATCTGGAACTGTTCCTTGAAGTAGTAGTGATTCAGAAGAGTTTAACAAGGATGGATAGCAATATCAAATTTTTTCCAAGCAGTAGATAACACTGGAATACCTTCCTTTCAAGTTGGGCGATGCTCGGTTAGTATTGTTTAGTGATTTAGACAAATAATCATTTTGTAAACAAAACTAATGGTGCAAAAAAATAATCGAAGTTTGATTTAATAAATGAAATTGATGGCAAATAAAGGATCTCTGATTATTTAGTAGATGATAAACTAAGGATCATCCAGTCATTTGATCGATGAAACCGATAGTAAAAAAAAAGTGTTTCATGTCGTTACGATATCCTTTGGAATCGTAAGTAGAGAAATTAAAGGAAGCATACTTTGTCATTACACTGAGAGACAAACGACATCATAAAACAATAATATAAAGATACCTTAATAATAGAAGTAATTTTATATTATGAGATTATTTCGGGTTTCCAACAATATATATTATTTATACAAAACACTTGTTAAGCATAATTAAAATTCTACACGAAGCACTTTCTTATACAAATTATTTATCAATAACAGATATTTGCAGCAGTCAGAGCAACCTTTCCGCATCTGCGGCAGCTTATTCATTGGCTTCGGTATATCGATGCTATTAATCTGTGCGCTGCTTCAACGTAAGAATATCGTCAAATATATTGAGGATCTCAATCAAGACTTGTATTTCTTCTCTGTGATTGATAACTGTATCTGAAAATCAATTTTGTTAATCGAAATTAGCTGCCAGAAGCTTATTAAGGATGAAATTAACTTAGTAATGGTTGGCTGCACATGCATATTGTTGTGTAAGACTTTTATGATGAAGACTAAATCTAGAAGATTATTTTATCACTAAGTGGTGCGAATGAAGGAAGATAGGCCATGTTCACTGCATCGATAGACTCATTCTGATCGGTAAAATCACGAATTTTACTTGCTGATATTTGATAATCAGATTTCTTCTGTTGTTAGCAAGGTCAAGATAGTCTTATTGTGCCAATTGGATGTCATCATTTTTGATATTAGCATGCAAATTCTATTTCATTTTATAAAGAGGATAGCTTTACAAATGGTATGTTCATCTCGTTTTCAATTCAATGAATTTTTTTTAAATAATTTAAACGGTTGCACAATAATATTCAGCGATGTATACGTAAGCCTTTTTATAAGCAGACGAATTTCCAGAACGACGAATTCAATTACAATTTCCAGAACGAATTACGCATTTATCGCTCCACTTTTCCCAATATTTTAAAATCATAATAATTGTATTCGCATTTATTACGATTATATAAAAAACATCAAATTTTTTAAAACAAATGAAAAAGAGGGTTTTCCCTTATCTTTTAAAGTCAACAAAAACGGTTAATTTATAAGCAACAAATCACTCAATAGCATGTTCCCAAATATTATAATAATTTGAGACTTAAATAAAGTCACTATGAAATGAATGCAGAACGATCTTGCATCTTTCTCTTTTTATATTTGCAGTTTGCAATCGTCAGAAGAAAAAGAAAGACATGAGGAAGTGATTATTGAAACAAATAACGAAGGATTGGGAATGCGTGTTGATGAAAGTTTACACATCATTGAGATAACTAAGCAAGGTCCTTGCGATGGCAAATTATTACCTGGAGATCATATCATCCAAGTATATCTTAATATATCGTAGTTTTATTTTAAAATTTCGAGAAGTTAGAAAATTGCATCTTTTTGAAACCACAAAATTTAATTATTAACAGATTGAACAGCCAGAATTCATTAAAAATTGGGAAAAGTGTAAGATCCATTTCTGACAATATGCAATTTTGAAAAGGCAACAGCATAACCTTTCGCAATTAATAACATATTCATTTCTTGCTCTTGGCGCCCTTGAAATTAATGTTAAAAATTTAGGAAGGAAAACTGAAATCGATTCAAGTAATAATGTCTACGAAAAACAGTAAACATATATATACTATAAATACACGTTATATTATGTATATCGTGTGTACTTTGAAAATATGAAAATATAAAATAAAATATATACTATAGTGTGTATTTTGTTAAAGAAATTAATGTAGGAATTTAAGATTGGGAATCGTACAGTTCAAACAGTTGATGAAGCGAGAGAAGCAATTGAAGCAGCTGGAGCAACGGTTCGAATTGTGTTCGATCGTGGACTGCAAAGTGTAACTGTTATTACTAGCACTTTAAATTCATTGATTAAGTCAAGAAACGCCTTTGAAGTGTAATAAAACCTCATTGTTACAGTAAATATATTGATGAACTGATCAATAAAGACGTTTTCAGACAGCTCAGGATAATATTCCAGCACAGTACGAAAGTTTATTTAAACGTCGTGAAGGCTTCACATATCATTACGTTCAAATTAATTATGTAAAAGGGTGTAAATTTGGCCTTGGCATTAAGCATTTTCAAAATAACGTAATTGTATCACGTATTGATCCAGGTTCTATTTTCATGCATAACTCTAAAAGTTAAAAGCCAACTTTTTTTCATTCTAACTCAATATTTCGAGATTGCATGAAAAATAGAGGAAACAATTATTAAATTGTCGTAGATTTCATCAAACTTTTGAAAGTTAAACTGTCAAATTTTGATTTACTGCTATAATAATCTGCAGTTGTTTCTTCATGTTGTAACATGAAGAAACATTTCCCACTCTCTTCAACATGAGTATCATTTTTTTTTTGAAATTCTTACTACACGATTATATAAATATTTCTTCAATCAAGGATATATCACTGAAGGTAGGAAATGATAAAACTCAAATAAATTTAGACAAAAATTTAGGTTCAATTAATTTAGTATCCTAAGATATGGGAAGTCCAAATCGGATTTTTGATATCATTTTCAGGTTCGTTGGCAGCACAATCACTTCAGGAGAAAGATCATATCATTGATATCAACGGTATAAAAGTAACCGATAAAGAAGTTGCAAGAAGTTTGCTTGTTCGAGCTCTTAAGGTTTCTGATTCCAAATAATTCACAATGATTTGTTAGCAGATTAGATATAAAGAGCAATTGACGGCCTATCCCCATTTATGGTGCAAATATTGGTTCCAAAATACATTAGGACAAAGAAAAGAAATAGCTGCTGCGCCTTATGCTTCCGTTTTAGAAAAAGAATTATGTTAGCATGTGCATTGAACGTCCGGTTTCCGGAAAAGCAACAGAGTGGGCAGACGATGCCATCAATGCATCTCAAATGCAACCACCATCAGTTGCAATGGCATCTGATGTTCGGGAGATAGCAGCTCGCCAACAGCAAAAAATGAGGGAAGCGATGGAAACTAAAAAGGTTAAATTAAAAAGGGAAACACTTCTCAATTATTAAAGGTCCACTTCCCTTTCAATTACTACAGGATTACGCTCTAAAAGAACTTTATATATTTCTAGCCTGGAATAATGAAAAAAATTAATAGTAAAGGAGGAGGATCTGATGCTGCTAAAATTGTAAAAATTGCGCCAGGAGAAAAGCATGATGTAAGTTAATAGATATCTTTCAAAATTAGATCCGGAAAGATGAAATAATCTATTAGTTTAAACTACGATTCAGCGACTTAGTTGAATTCGAGAGCTGTAAGATTCATCAAAAATATACGTATCGTAACAGGTCTAAATGATGCCGGATAGATCTATCGGAAAATTCTCAAAAGAAAGAAAAAGTTGTATGACATAATATAATATACATAAAGTTATATTATGTTCTATGATAAATTATATGACATAATATACATAATAAAATATTATGTCATATAAGTTTTATATTAAAAGAACAAGTTGAGAAGAAGCAAATTAAAGGTAATAATATAATAGATATAAACTCCTTTGAGCGGTTAGTATTTAATCTGATGAAATGGAAGATTAGAGTTCTCAGTAATATCATTTTTTAATAATTTTTCTAATTCTTTCTTAATTTTCGTTCCAAAATTAGTTATTTTCAAAAATGTTTCTTGTGCAATTTTCTTTTTAAATATATTGCAGGTGATAATAGCAAGTGATAATGAGGGGAAACAATTGAGACATGTGAAGGAATAATCAAACATTCTCATTCTCATAACCGTAACTTTTATTTAGCAAATAATATTTCACAAATTTGAAAAACCATCCATTATGTTTTTCTCTCTGAATATTCAACGACTAATTCATGATGGAAGGAATTTATAGTAAAATTTACACTATTTTCTTGAATTTACGTCACTTTCTTAAGTTACGGATATTCTCCCAATTTTTATCATATTTCATGACATCAACATGAACAGGAAAAGTTTGAACATAATAACGGAAATTGAAGAAATAGTAGTAATGAAAGCAAGAGCAAAACCTCACAACCAATGTAATCAAATTATAAATAATATCTTATATTTCGTCACTTCCGTTACTTTTCCTCAATACTTCAGTAAATAATTAATTATCTTCTTTATGTTCACACAAATATTCCATTAATTTACACCGATATATAAATGCTCAATTCAAAAATTGCAAGCAATATAATAGCGGTAATTAAATGTGCAATAATTTGTGGAAAAATTCTGTTTTGAAATCTGAGCTATCCAGGAATTACAATATTTTTAATAGATCATTCGGAATGAATAGATTACGACGGCTGTTTGTTTTTCGGTAAATTAATTTCTATACATTTTGCTGAAACGCAAGAAAAGAAGGACAATTGCACTAAGCCTACAGTTTGGAATAATTTCACTCATTTAAAATTGTTTTTTCCATTACAAACAATGCAAGAAAACTTTTGAACGAGTAATTTACTTAATTTATTAGCAGTCATGAAGTTAGCCAAGATATTTGGATTTATTTTTTAAATATTTAAATTTAACTTTTTCAAATATTCTGTGTTTCGGTAATTCATCTTTTATCTGATGCAGACGGTCAATGCTTTATCAGGGCTACATTAATAGCCAATAAATCGCTATCTGTAGCTATCATTCATCAGTTATTATCATTGATCCACTACCTAATATTCTGACGATTGATCCTTATGAAATAAAATTTATTGATGTAAAGTGAAAGTTTGGCTGAGAAACTTAAAGTTTGAAAAATAATTCCCAGTAACTGAAAGAGATATATCTGATAGCATTAGTTATTGTAGAGTAGAAAAAAATAACAGCAAAATATTCGCATAAATAAAGTTCATTAAAGCTAGAAGGAATGCTAGAAGTATTCCGATTTGCAGAGGTCAAGCACTGTCAACAACCATGTCAAGCCACGATTTTGGCTAGAATGTTGCGATTTAATAAAGTTGGACAGACTTGATATAAAAACTGTAATTAAGAAAAATCTGAATTTAGAGGAGCTGGTAGGACTGAGGGAGAAAATGTATTTCTTGTTAGAAACTGCAAGTGGTGAATGCAAATGCACATTTAGTCCCACATTCTCAAATGCATATTAAATTGTCCTTATCGTCATGATAGCTGACAGATCGAATTCATTGGAACACTTTACTAATTGGAATTGATTTGCTCAACACAAGAATGGAATAGGATCGGTAGTAATAGTGAGTAAGTTTTAATAAATTCAATCGAATAAATCACTATTCCTTTGATATGACGTAGACTGGATAGAGGGGAACACGCCGTACCTCATTTCCGTCATATTATCGTTGTACGTTCACTGCTGCTTCGAAATTATGTACAAAAATAGAAGTGACGGAAATTATCTTTCATTTGGCACACTTTATTAAATGGGAATTTCATTTACAATTTCTAGTCTGAAATGGCAAATGAATTTTGCTATGACAGATGGGGATATCCGGAAAGATGCGAAGATAGGCGAAAATTGTCAGGGACATGTTATCTTGAGCCCATATTTATTTCCTCTGACAAAATCATTCTCTCATAAATATTTAGAATTCACTCAAACATGTATTAACAATTTATTTCGGATCAGGCTGCAATACTCGTTATGCAAACCGTTCGATGTACTTCAGAGATGCTAACACTCCCATCAGAAGAACATTTCGCCGATTGATTTAAACTTCACTTTATTTCAAAAAACTAGGAAAATTAATTCGAATTTCGCAACTTACTAATAAATGTTTAATTTCCACAACACAGCACCCCTCGCTACTTGACCTCTACTTCTCTCGATGGTCGCTGAATGATTACCATAACCAAGCGGATTTTGCAACGATACATTCATTTGACGAACCATTTTCCGCGTTACGAACCATTTCCATGTGACGAACCAATTTGCAAATCTTTTTCACATGGGGTCATGCGATGACGAATTCAGTATTTCAGGTGTGAGTTTTCCTTCATTCTAACGGATGGCGTCATCTGCGGATGATTTGCCTTATGGCGCTGAGTATGCTAAAAGTAGTCGTGCTGCTTGCAAAGGATGTCATGGTTTAATTTCACAGGTAAATTTAATTAATTCAAACGCTAATTCATTTCTAATAATAAAGATTACAGATTGCTTTACAAAATCTTTTACCTGTATTAAGTAACGAAGATAAAGGATGCTGTAAGTAAACAGTTTGATAGATAAGGTAATATTTTAATTGAGTTAAATAAGCATTTTAATTGGAAGGTACTAACAGATAAATATCTGGAAAGAATATAATCCAGATGTTTCTAATGACACTTGTATATTTGTTTTAGCAGTGTTTCCTAAAATGATTTCATGCGAGAATTTCAGGATTCACTTCGCATGTCTCTCCGGAAACCGAGTCATTTTTTTGATGGGCTGCAGGACAATTGGTATAATTTCGAAGTTTGATATAGAACTTATTTCTTTTGGAGCAGAATTGCTAATGAGTGTTCTTTTCCAGGTTCCATTTCACTTGTTTCTGGAAAAAAGTAAAGCAAAATGACATAAACGAAGCCTCTATTCGTGGTATAGAGCTTCTAAAATGGAGTGATCAAGAAAAAATTCGTAAAAAATTGAATGAAATTCAAGGTATTATTTAAAACATATTTTCTTCTATAAATCCACCAAAAAAAGTTTGAAATATGTTTTGATTAAGGTTTTTGATATTGCTTTTAATTGTTTCTTTGATAAAAAATAGTGCGGTTTAACATATTATTGTAGTTCATTTTTTATTTTTTTAGGCTATATTGTACTTCCCTAAGGTAATGCAATTTGCCTTCGTAATTAAGTATTCAGGTAAGTTAACCAAAAAGATAAAAGCTTTACAAGTTAGGAAATGAATAAATGTTTTTCCCATTCAGCTGAAGTATCTTGTACAGAAGAGCACTCTGTTGCGCTTATCTCTGAATATGCTGTAACTGGTCGTAGTAAATGCGTGAATTGCAAGAAAATTATCGAAAAGGTTCTGTTTATGTGTAAAAGTTATTAATTTTTATTAACACCAATATTTAAACATTTTTTCATTGCTCAATTTATTGCCTTGAAGAGTCTGTTGCTGCTAGCAAAATTTTTTGCTTGTGGGAGAATATAAATTCTTACCAATTTTTTTTGCAGAATACTCTTAGACTTGGAATGAAATCGGCATGGTACCATGTAAACTGTTTCGAGAAAATGCAACAATATACCGACTGTGCTGAAAAGTTCGTAACAAATATCGGAATTCTTATACTTATCAGATTAAATTAGGTGCTCCACAGCAGAATTTTTGTTTCAATTCTTTTAAAAACTTTCGAAATTTTCTATATTTTCATTTATTGTAAAAGGATTTTCAGAATTGTTGGGTTCCAAGATTTGTCAGAATCTGACCAAGATTTCTTGAAAATAAAGTTTAACAAGCAAGCAGAGAGCAGTATAAAGAGAAAACCGACGAAAGTCGACGACAACATAGCCAAAAAAGCAAAAGTGGATCTGTTTGATAGAGAGGAAAAGATGAAACGTCTTGAGGTAGCCTACAGTCTTCTCAGAAAATGCAACATTAAAGCAAGTTTTCTTTGCAACATTTAAAGGCACAAGCGAACGAAATGTGGTCAATGAGGGAAAAATTATCGAAATGTCTGAACAAAAGTGATATTCGAATTTTGCTGCAGGCCAATAATCAGGCACTTCTTAAACAAAGTGGAGAGTCGAGGGTAAATTGGTCCTTTTTTTTCTCATATCATTGGATTAATTTTAATGAATAATTTTAATGTAATAGTTCTCTGATAAGATTAGATCCTAATTGAAATGCGTTTATTTAGTTTTTCAAATTTGTCGAAGATTTCATCTTATTACCTGCTTGACTGAGTAATTTCGAAGCGCGGGTTAGTACTCAAAAATTATATCGTTATAGTAACACTCAGTGCATAAATCTCTTCGTGCATTACTAGCTTTTAATTTTAATTCTCTTGTGATACTTATAAGGAAAATATTTAAAAAATTTCTGTTTTAGCTGCTGGACCACCTTGTTGATTGTATGGTTTTTGGCTGTCCGCTCCCTTGTGAGCAATGCAAAGAAGGTCACATTGTTTACAGGTGAATTTTTCCTTAGTTTGCATAAAAGCATAGGAGAGAAACTTTTTATGTGAGACTCGGTTAGGTTTATTTGATCCGGTTAGGTTTATTTAAAATGTCACATTTACTAAATGGATTCAGATTTTTTATCTTTCCATTTTTCTTACATGTTTGTTCTCCGTTTTGTTTTCCTTGTTTAACATTTAATATTTTAATATTCTCTCTTTCGGTTGTGTAGTTAAAAGTTAGAACTGCATATAGTTTTACCGTAAGAAAGCGGAAAGTTCGTTGTCAAAATAATTTTATCCAAATGATTATTTGCAATAAATAGAATGTCATTACTGTTTGATTAATATTTCTAAGATGTTTGAATTTTCTGATTTGCTCCAGTTCGTTTTTTCCTTTTTAGCTCATCAGAACGAAGTTATGTTTGTACTGGTTATATTTCCGAATATACACGATGTATGTATACTTGTCGCAACCCACCTCGGAAACCATTCGTCGTTCCTGATGACATGAAAGCAAGCATTTCTGAATTTAAGAATTTCGAAGTCAAGGTATTTAAAGTTCTTTAATTAGTGTGAAAATGTCACACTCGCCCATTGTATTTCTGTCATAAAGGAGAAAAAGAAGAAGGGTTATAGATTAAGAGGGAATTAGCCATGAATGACTTTTAGTTACTATGAAAACTTGTTATCACAAGATCTGAAACTTTTTTGGAGTTTCAGGATCCGAAAGAGAGGGCATATAGTGTTTTAGAATGTGAGAAACTAATTAAGTGAGTTTTGTTTTGTTTTTTCAGAAGTGTCCAAAAATTCTTAGACGCTTCAAAGACTGTGGTCTTTTTTTCTATTTCTTAAAATCAGAATTTTGTGCTGTCATCACTTATCAGTAAATCAAACTTCTTTTGTTTGTTCTGTGGCATCCTTTCTCCTGCTAAATAATAAAAAGTTTGTTTGCAGACCAGGGTCGCTAAAAGTCATGGATAAAAATGTTGATCAAACGGGTAGCAAATCTAAGAAGCGCAGAAGCATTCACTCCAAAGGTGAATTCATTATGCTTCTCCGTTGATAAAAATTTAATTTACCAATTAGTTAGGTAGAATTGCGTGTGACAATTTGCCTCCATTGCTAGGTACTTGTTCGAGAATGCAACAACAGATTATTAAAAACGGGACAGTGGTTGATGCCGAATGCCCTCTTCAGGAAGTTGTACATGTGTGGAAAGATGAAAATGGTTTTTTTTTCAGCTTTTGCAAAAATTTTGTATTTATTTGATATTTTTGTGGCTCTTTTGAAGTTCAGCCGATCGTCCGACTGTTTATTACATTTGTGTAGTGGTCGGTAAATCTTTCTGGAAATTCCATTTAACTTATCTGTTGGGTTATTACTTTTTATTGTTTTGTTTTAATCTGTTAACATATCCTGTTCTGGTTGATCTGAAGTCTGCAGGATCATTTATTTGGATTCTAGATTTTGTCTCCCCACGTTATATTATGTTCAGGTCTAATTTAGCGGAAGATTTTTAAATTATTTCAAGTTCTGAAATTATTTACTTTCCGTTAGGAAAACTTTGGGAAACAACGCTGGGAACGGCAGATTTTCAAACCGGAGCGAATTCATTCTATAAATTGCAGCTATTAAAGCATGATTGTAAGCAAAAGTATGTTAGCGTTCACTTTTTGGTATTTTAATATGTTATAAATTCTATATATTGAAAATGTTCTTTAATCAAATATCATAGCGGAATTGTTAAGTATATTTCATATATTTCATGGCTAATGAATTCAAAAATATTGTGTACTTTCAGCTATTATTTGTTCCGTTCATGGGGACGTGTCGGCACGAGTATTGGTGGCGCAAAAACCGATAAATATCGTGGAGATTTGGAAAGAGCAAAAATGACTTTTGAAAAGTATAAGTTATTATCATCTTGTGAATAGTGGTATTGATTTATGCGAAGTTGATTGTTTATTATTAGACCTCACCAATTTGATTTCAGATTGTTTAATGAGCGGACAGCAAATAATTGGAATGATATCGAAAATTTCAAAAAAGTTCCGGGGAAGATGTCGCTCATCGAGACTCATTATGAAAGCGTAGGAATAACTTTTCAAACTGACATTATTTGAACATTTTGAGATGATCTGCTTTCACCGCATGATTTTGAGATTTTTCGAAATATTTGGAGTTTGAAAATACAAAGATTTTAACGTTACCTTACATTCATTTATATAATAGTCAAAAGAACTGCAAAAATTTGTTGTGAAACCTGGATCTCTATCGAAGCTTCCAAGACCGATACAGCAAATTATTAAAATGATTTTTGACGTTGATGCAATGAACGATGTTCTCGAAAGCCTTGAGGTAGCTCTTGATCCTTCTTATAAGTTTTGAATTATTTAATCATCTAGTTAATAGAGATATAACCTTGAGTTTAACTTTGAAACTTTTTTCAGCTGCGTTTTATTTTGCTTTGTTTCACTAATGATTGTCAAACTTTTTCAAAGATGATTTTTGCAGATCGATACAGATAAAATGCCTCTCGGGATATTATCAACTCGTCATATAAAAAATGCATATGAGGTTTTAACGGAGCTGCAAAAAGTAAGCACATTTTGGAGAACTTTTTTAATAAAAAATAGCAAAATAAAACAAGTTCTCAAAGAAGTTATGTAGAAATCACACACCGTTTAATATGGACTTAAAATTAGAATTTAGTTGATGGAAGTTGGTAATGCCAAATATAAAGATTACTTGGATGCAACAAATCGATTTTTTACACTTATTCCCCATAACTTTGGTATGAACAAACCGCCGCTTCTCAACTCACAGAAACTCTTAATTGTTCGTTTGAATTTTTTTTTTATTTTGTAATCTATAAACTTCTGTTTGTTAAGTATATGAACTTCAAGAAAAAATGAAGCACTGGGATACAAGATCAATAATTTTTTTTAATTTTCAGGGTTTCATTGATTTAAGTTAGTAGACATTTAATGTAAGTCGAATAGTTGTTGCGAGCTTTTGCTAATACATGTGACTTGTCGTTCCTAATTTTTCTGCATCACTTTGCAGCGATGTCGGATGTGCAAGTGAATTCAATTCACTAATTCAACATTTCTTTGTAGGATAAGACGAAACTGCTCGATGATCTTATGGAGCTTGAAGTTACATATAGCATTTTGAGGACTGACAATGAAATAGATCGAATGCGAGATCCAGTGGATGTACATTATGAAAAGTTACATTCTCAGTTAGAGGTTTTTATATTTTTTTCACTTCCTTTCTTTATTCAATGTTTTCAATCTTTGTGGCAAAAAAAATTTCAACTTTACATTAAAGATTTAAAAGTGTTAAACTGTAATGAATAAGGCGATTAAGCTTATTCAGGTACTAGATAAGCAGTCGGACGAGTATAAACGCATATTGCAGTATGCTACGAATACGCATGCACCCACACACGATCAGTATAAACTTGAAGTTGTTGATGTATGTTTACGATCTTTTAAATTTGTTTGACTGGAAGTTCCTTTCCATCTGTATATCTTAATCATCAAAGACTGGGAATATATTTTTTAGATTATCCGGGTAAAGCGTGAAGGCGAAAGTGAAAGATTCAAAAAAAACATTCCAAATCATTATTTACTTTGGCACGGTTCGCGGATAACGAATTATGCAGGTATTTTATCACAGGGATTACGAATTGCACCGCCAGAAGCGCCCATGGTATGAAATTTTTACTTCTAGTTATTCTATAAAATTTGATAGCAATGCGGATATTTTTTAAATTTGAAGAAAAAAGATTGTATTCCAGAAATAATAATGAGTCTTTTATAGTTTATAAGTCTAAGAGAAGTCTGTTTAGAATATTACAAAATTGAAATTTTAGACTGGTTATATGTTTGGGAAAGGGATATACTTCGCAGATTTGGTATCAAAATCAGCAAATTATTGTCATACAGTTAACACAGAAGGGTTTATTTTGCTATGTGAAGTGGCACTTGGTGAAATGCAAGAGGAAGTCAATGCAAAGTCAATCGCAAAACCTAATAAAGGGAAACATAGCGTTAAAGGTTCGAATTTGATGTTGAATTTATACGTAATTATATTATTCTGTATAAAATATGTCAGCTTTATAAGAAGCAGCAATAACTGAAAAATATAAATGCTGTGTGCAACTGAAACTGCCATATTCTGTGGTACGCTTTGGAATAGAAATATTTAACTGTTATCTTTCCATTTCTTTAATTTTTCTGACAAAATAATTTGACTAGGAAATAGTGGAGTAATCTTCAAAATTAGCGAAAACTCATAGTAACTTAAAATTTAAGCATAAAATCAAAATGCTGATTGAGCAGTGTTCCATTGAATCCTGATCGATTCTAATGTAGAAAAAAGAAAATGAAACGTTTGCTTCAGGTATCACTTCACTTTTTGGAATTTAAACTGTATTTTTCATAAACATACATTTCAGGCTTAGGACAAATGATTCCTGACCCAAATGAGTACTTTGTGACAGAAGACGGCGTTACAATTCCTATGGGAAAACCTGTAGATACGAAAAGACAGGATCTCACGCTTTTGTACAATGAGTTCGTTCTAATTAACCATTTATGAAAATACTTAAGATGTATTAGCGGTAAAAATTGTTTAGAAGTATTTATCCATCTTCGTCCGTATGTTTCCCTCAATAAGCAGATAACAGGGTCAATAAATAGGAAATCACTTATTTCTTTACATATCTCTTCTGAGAATAATAATTAGTCGGTTGCAGGTATATTGTTTACGATGTTGCTCAAGTTGAGATCAAATATTTGGTCCGAGCTAAGTTCATATCACATTTCTTCTGAATTTGCAAAATCCCCAACATTTCAGTGGAGAAATTTCGATCCCTTATGCTTCTTTTTGTGAATTAATCCCATCAACATATGCGTTACATTTTTTTAATGGAGTTTTCATGTTTATTGTTCTTTTTTTGCATATTAATCATATCAATGTCAGTGGGTTCGCCCAGCTAGAATTTTGAGTTAGTAAAGTTTCATCTAATTTGTTTTTAAAACTTTAGTATCATGATGGCATTACTATCCAACGCAGACTTATTGAGGCTTAAGCAGTCTTAATGATTGAATGGGTTTGGGTCGTCATCATTCATAGAAGTTACATGTTAACTTTTTGCTAATTAATTTGTTGTTAATTTAGACTACCATCATGTTATTTACATGTCTATGTAGTGAAATGATGAAATGAAGTTGGTTTCAATACAACGTGCCTTAATTCAAACACTTCATCGCGCTATTTTTGTCAAATTTCCGCTGAAAATTTCTGACCTTATTTGCACACTTACAAGTTACAATTGGGTTTGGTCGTTTTAAGTTACTGTCATTACTTTTTTCTTGGGATAGTATGTTTTCACAGTGCTGCATTATTTCTAGAGCATTCTAGAAAATCGGATGGGAGAAATAGAATGGTCGTGGTGCTCTGTCTGGGCATTGTGTTGCTGTGTTTTGCTTTCTTGTAGGATGAGGTGTATTTCAGGTTACTGCAGTGTTTGAGTATTCAAAACGATATTCCATTTAAAACTGTCTTATTTCAGAATAGTGTATCACCGACTTGCATTTACTTATTGCGATGGCTAAGTGGGGTGAGGGTGATCCGCGATGGATTGTAGAGGAACGTCCGGATGCTGTTAATGTCAACAACTGGCATTGGTAGGTTGTCGTTTTGTTCTTCATTTTTCATTTTCTGATTAAATCAACCAAATAAATTTTACACCAGAGAGAATGGTGACGTCCAATAAGTGTTTATTTAAATGTTAAGAAACAATAATACCTTGTTGGAAGTAATCAGAATAAGGGCATATTCAAATGCCGATTTGCAAACTTAGAGTGTTATAGGACAGAGAAAAATGCAACGCCTTGGTCGAAACAGCGTCTAAAAGAACTACTAGAAGGGCAGAAGTACGAAAATGGCTCGACTGTTGTCATATTTAAGGAACTCAAAAAATTAGACGGTGAGGCGACAGCAAACAACCGGAAAGCTAAATTAATTTTCCTCTTCGAGTGGCTCATTGAATTAACCTTTGAAGGTCTTTTTTTTTCTTAGCTGCAAATAATTTGGATTTCTGAAATTTTTACTTAAATCGTCAAAGAATGTTCTTGATTTGTGACTGTTTCTATTGTCGGGTAGTTTTTTTTTTGTTTGCACTTTCAATTCTTAATGTTATCAGTAATTTTTGCAGTAAAAGTTGCTGGTTCAGATATTGATTACGAAGGACATATTGAGATACCGAATTTAAGCGATGAAAATGAAGTTGATGAAGTGGATGTATATTGCCGTTTCTTTTTCTTCGTTCTTTTTTTTTATTATTTATATTTTATTATTTCGTTTTTAATAAGATATGGCATTTATTGGCATTATAGTTTGCTACATATAAAAAAACTGTAAATGGAAATCAGAAGTTTGCTATACAAAACAATTTTTAGATAAGTCCGTCAATCATTACTGCCGGACCTCATGAAGACCGAATAAAACATCTTTTGAATAACGAGGTGGCTGCATTCTTGCGTAAACAATTAGCTATTTATATTCGAGAATTGAAAGAGGAATTCAGCAAAGGCTTAATATTGCCAACTGATCGCGCAAAACCGCAAGTGGTCTCTAAGGGAAAAACTACTATTGGAAAGCAACATGTTGACAAGAAGGCATTCCAAAATCACGTGGTGCTGTTTTTCGGCTAAACTTTACAAAATTTTCTTATGGAATCCTTGTTAGCTTTTTTATTTTTGAAATATAGCTGCTATGTTCAGCGACCTAATATGAATTTTTTGTACTTTGAATATCCCTAGTATCAATTCTTCCAGGTAACCAGTGCTGACAATGACCTCACGAAATCTGCACGTGAGTTTTCAGTTCTAAAGTTTCTAATTTTTTCAAGTCTTGTGTACTAGAGTTTATGAATTATAAATGCACTGTTAGTCAGTTTTCAGGTTTTCTAGTTATTTTACCAAAACTTACCTGCCAGTTTTAATGAAATGCGCTGTTTTAGCGATTAGCGTCGATGTTAAAAGCTTATCATTTACGGAATCATTCAAAGTTCAGCCAGATCAGTTATGGGAAGTACTCACAGAAACTGAGGTCTATTTTTCAAGTTTCTTTTAAGTTGCTTTTTTCGCGGATATTATATTTGAAATTTTCAATTATTTTAGATGGTAAAGAAATGGTCGAACAGTGATGCAAAGCTTGATCTCAAGCCCCAAGGCACTTTTACATTATTTGGTGGCATGGTTGCGGGTGAATTCGTTAAAATTGTAAGCTCTCATGATAAATTTTTGCTTCTTTGGGAAAGATGTTGAGTTCAGTTCCAGTCAGACTTGAATTGAAAAAGTTTTATGACTTTATTTAGTTTCTGTCTTTACTTTCTTATCATTTATATCTTCATTATTTTTTTAGCCTGCTTTTGCTTATTTACTAACCTGCTATATCGTTAAAACTTAAATCTGTATATAAGAATTCTAGAATATTTCCAACATAAGATACTTCCGTTATTTAAGCAACGAATTCTGAGTCAAATAGTTCTTCAGGAGCCATGTAAGGAACTTGGAATGAAATGGCGCTTAAAAAGTTATCCACCAGCATGTTTTGCAAGTGTTACCTTCAAATTGAAGGATGAGGTTTGTTCATTTTGCGAAGTATTTCTATGAAATCCAAAAGTAATGTATATAGCTCGTTTACCTCTCTGAGTTGCGAGGTTATCTGTACACTCAATGCTTTCTTGTATTCCCATTTTTCAGCAGAATTTAGTTAATTTTTGAAGGGCGTAGAGCAGCTTCTCAATATTTTCAGTTGTGTAAATTAAATGATCATTATTTTTCATTTATTTTAACACGAAAAAAAATTTTCTTCCATGGATCATTCAAAAATTTAAACATCAGAATATGACTTATTACGTTGATTTTGAGCTTAAGACAATTTGAAGAGAATTTTTTAGTTGTTGTAGTATGTTAATTTTTCAGAGGGATAGTACAACATTAGAGGTGGATGTAACAGGCATCCCATCGACGGAATATGATACTACTAAGAACGGTCTGCATCGTTTTTATGTACAGAACATAATGAGGACATTTGGATTTGGAGTGCATATTTTCTGAACTTTGTGCTTTAGCAGCTTTTAAATGATCGTTTTACAAAACGAATATGTTATGGATTCCTTTTTCTTTCTTATTTTTCTATGTAACATTATTCAAGTTTCTCCGAAATTCACGTTAAAAATTTGATTCCAATTACGTTGCAAAATGTTTTATTATGGTGTCAAAACTTGAAATTTTTTATGGGATCTTTGGTATGTTTATGCAGGAGATGGATGTAAATCTGTTGTTCAAATTCATGTCAGTAAAAGTATCGCAGTTGTATTTGCTACGGTCACTCAGTAAGGGTAGTGCAGATTTCGGGACCGATGAATAAATATGGGAGTTAAAACACTTGCAGTCAGCACAGTTCTGATTATATACGCTTGTTTTCATCTAAATTCTCTTTGAATTTGGAATTTTATTGATATTATTACACATTTTTCCATTTCAGCGGTGTAGTGCTGCTATGAGATAAAAATAACGACAAATTAGGAACGGTTGCTTCTTATTTCCAAGGTCATAAGTTCGTTCGGCTCTCTAGGTTTTTTTGATAAGAGTATTTGTCTACCACATTTGAGATGATACAAAATAATATCTTGAAAAGCGTGGATTGTGGTAATCTAAGGATGGGATGCAGAAAGAAAATCCCATTCTAAATTAAAATGAATGAAATCTGACAAAACATCCAAGCTAATGTTCCTGATGTTAGCTAACATTGATTAACTGTTGGTTAACATTAGCTAACTATAACTAATGTTAACTAACACTAGGAACATTAATTTGGACGTTTTCTAAGCTTTATTTGGAACTAATTCATTCATCCGGGTAGGGCAGGCATATTATTTTGAACCGCTTCAAGCTTGTACTTTAGCAGTATGCTCTTGTGTACGTACAGTTCCAATGGAATGATTTGACAATACTTTTTGACAGTAACACAGTACTGATGTGTTGGTTACTGTACCATTGCTTTACTCCTCTATTGTAAGATACAAATTCATTAGTGTTAGTTATATCAATGTCAACTGGTTATCTTAGATGCCAGAGTGTTTATTGCATTATTAACATGACATACTGCTTACGAAAAGACTAGGTCTTATTTGACTGACTGCCTATGCCCTATTGAATGATAGTTGATAAGCCAAAACAGAACGGAAGGAAGAGAAATTTTGAATTTAGCTATTTTCGGATCGATCAATGCGAGGAATCTGTGCACCGCTTCGTATTTTCTCTTGTTTTTTAATCCATTTCAGCATTCCAATCGATTAACGTTAATATCATCCAAATTTTAAACAGCAGCAATGCTATGCTTGTTTTTTCCTGTCCAAGTGTGCTTACCATATGATGGGCCATGATGTTAGCTGTGGGCGCAATGTTCTTTCCCTTCCCATATGGTTTTAATTTAGGATGAAGAAATGACATTTTTCCATAATTGATCTTTTTTTAAAAAAGCTTCCCTGAAGCATAATGTTTTTTTTCTTTTCTATGCAAGTTATTTTCGTTAAAATATTTTTGGACAAATGAAAAAGGATCTCTGATTTTAAATGCACAGGAAACAACTTTCTTCAGTAGTGAGTTTACTGACTAATCACAATAAAGGTGGTTAAAGCTGGCTGGAATTCTGACCGATTCCATCACACCTTTTTAATTATTTGGGAAAACATTGACGAAATTCATTTGGTAGTTTAATTTTTGTGCTATATTGTACATTTAAATATTAAGAGGCATTTTCCCCGATATCTACTAATATTGGCAACTATATCTCTAAGCATAAATTGTTTTGATTGTCATTTTGACGGCATGAATCAGTTGTTGGAGATATCCATCATCGTGCTTATTATGAAGCAAATCATCACATATTGCCTTCTATCTCTCTGCTATTGTCTACCGATATTTGTAAATCTCTTTAAAAGATTCACTAAGCAAAAGCTGTTGCACAGCCGTCTATTTTTCAGTACAAACAACAAAGGATCCTTCATTCAGTATGCATTTTATTTGAAGTGTAAGCAATGAAAGTGGCGCCTGTTTGAATCAAACAAGCATAGAAGAAATCCTATGAGAAATATATTTCGTCAATATAATTGTCCTGATAAATAACATTTAAGCTCATCAATCAAAAGAAGCAAATTGGATCAACTCAAATAAATCAAAAATTCTCCTAACCGTTCATTTCTCAATAAAACGTTTACATCTGTCACTTTTCGAAACTTACCTTATACAAGTTTTTTTTACTAAACTAAGTTCTATTTTCTTTTGTTTCTTTGCTATTTATTAGTTTGCTTTAATTAAGAAAAATATCATCCGTTTCAAATAATTTAATTATAAAAATAGCTGGCAAAATGTGTTGAGCAGTTCTTTGGTGTGTATTAATTGCCTTTTGTTAGTTGAATTCAATTATGGATAGAGGTACTAATATTTGTGATAACGAAAGAAAAAATCTATTTACTTCTGAATGGCTAATATTCAGTATTTCTTAGAATAAAAATTGTCAAGAGCATTCTGTAATTCAGTTCTTGCTACTGTGATATTCTGTCATGCAATGATTAATATCTTCCACAGCAGATTCACATTATCAACTATCAAATTATTCTCTTCATCTATCCCACTGTAGGTCATTCATGGTTTTGATCATATCTTAGAACTTTTTTCAATTTATATTATTTTCCGAGTTAATATGATAATGGAAGCAAATTTATCCATAACATTCATTTTGTTCTTCAAAATCGGATTACTTCCTATTTTTTTCTGTGCTGAAACTCTTTAAATGGAAGTCTATTTCAAAAGATCATAATTTATATTTTAAATCACCTACTATTTATCAGTATAGCCAAGCAATCGCATTATAAAAGACGATCAATAGAGAATTAGTATTGCTGTCTGTTCGTGATTGGCGATACATTGCTAAACCTATCCTTTTTCAATGAACTATTGCTGGACAAGAGTTTAGTTTCACTGATCGATTTGGTGTAGTATTACACTGTCATCAACCTTTCAATACATCGAATAGGGAACCCATTGCTTTTGTTTTATTATTTTTATTTTTTTGAGAAGTTTTGCTTCCTTGTTTGTAAATATCTATAAGTACATATGTAAATAAATAAATATATATATATATAGATATAGATATATTGAATAATTCACTGAAGTTTACATAATCTTCGGTGGTTTCACCTATAGAAAATATAACTGAACCATTAAATGCATTGCTTAAGTTTAAATTTTCAGATACGAATTTTTTTCTCCTTCAGCTTTCCAATTTTTTTAACATGATCAGCATTTTACTATTTATTATTGTATCATATTTATAATTATAAACAAAAGATATTATTCACATAAAAAGTTTGCTGACCCGTCAATTTTACGATTAGAACTTATTTTTTTAATTGAAACTGTAGTCATACTTCACTGTTAGTAATTTTGAGATTTATCCGTTAAATAATTGAAAATTTGATGATGGTCACATTTGAAAAATATGTCTAAGGAAAAATATTTCCATTTACATTTTCAGTTTCTAGCGGAGCAGAAGCTTTTTTTTGCACATTTTGATTTGTGCTATAAATAATTTTTGTTACTTTCAAAATTTGAAAAAATTTTCCTTGCACTTGCCTCTCTCTTCGGATATTTGGGAAGTTCAAAATATTTACATTTATTGCTTAACACTACGACTTCTAATGATCCTTAAAGTGCAATAATTTTTGCACTTTAAGGAACAAGCTGCTTGTAACACACAATGCTAGATCCAGATGTTACGTGAAATATTTTGTCAATATTTCTACTAATGATTTGCTTGTTGACTATAAGCCAATTTGTATCGCAGGAAAGAGTAATCACTTTCCGTTCGGTTGAAAAAAAAAACTTTTTTTGAAGCTTCTGCATTAATTTTAGAAATTGATGATGTTTTGAAGGAATTTATTTCTAAGAAAAGTATTATTAGAGAACCAGGTTGCTTCATTCAGCAGTGAAGATTTTAAACAATACATCGAATTTGAATTTTCACACTTCTGATTGTAACAGTTGCTTTTCATAACCACTTAGCCTTTGAAAATTTTGTTTACTTCTAATGTTGTTGTGAAATTCTTAATTTTCGTTGTTTGAGAATATTTGGAGGAAGAATGAATCTTAAAATTTTAACAAATGTGATTGAGAATGACGATTAATAACAGCATTTATATGTTAAAAGCAAAAAAAATCTTAATTTCAACAAAACTGATCTCATCATGGCTTTTGCAATTTTTATAATTTGAAACTTTTATCACTTATCTTTTGGTGTGATAATTTTTTCGAAAGAATTAAAAAAACTTTATGAACAATTTTTCCCTAAAATATTAATACTTTTTCAAAATTCCGAAATTTCAAAATTATTTTTAAAATTCTATCGAATTCATTGGCACGAAGAAGATGGATGGATCATTAAATATTGCGAAATGAAATCAGTCTTTTCTAGATATCTTATACTTCAATAGCATTATTGCACGTATGAAAGCATTATACTGAGAAGGCTCAAAAATAGAAATCTTCGAAATGCTAACCTATTGGTACCAGCGAAGAAAATACATTTCATTATTGAAGTGACAGTATTTAACAATTGACATAAATTAAATGTATTCAACAGAGTGAAGCACTGATTTTTATAGATTTTTGAAAGATTATTTTGAGAGAATGTGAAATGATTAGAAGATAAGCCTTAAAGAATATGCTAAATTTTGTTCCTCCATAGGAAATGTAAAGAAAGAAATATAAACATACCATGTCTTCTTTTCTTATTTATCGTTCAAAAAGCTCTGAATAACTAAGTTGCAAAATTATTTGATACTGTATAGAAATAATTTAAATGTGATGAGAAATAATAAATGTCAATCTGACAAACAGCCAATTATATACCTAAAACAGATTTCAAGATTGGAAACAAACTTTGATTAGCTATTGCTTATTTTTTGCATAAGCATTATCATTATTCAACAAAAGATAACTAACAAATTATTTAATAATGATTTAGAGGAAGGAAAGGAAAATAGAAATTTTAT